ATATATATATATAAGTTTATTTTAAGTTTTTATTGAATTTAAGTTATTCAAGTTATTGTGTAATATTAAAATTAAGTTCAAATTATAAATTTAAATTCAACCAGAATTACAAATCTAATTTGAGTGAATTAGTTTGCCTGAACTAACCTAAATTAAATCTAAAATTAACTTGAATAATTCTCGAGTTATGTACTTCAAGTTGTAAGAGTCGGACTCAAGTTGAGTTAGGATAAAAAATTTTACAATTTTGGATTGTATTTGGGTTGCTCCTCTAACCCACCCAACCCATTGCAACCCTGAGTTACGTTTCTAACTGAATTTTCTCCAAACCTGTCTTGCGTAACTTCTTCAAATTTTAGCTTATAAAATCTTCTCTGTGATAAGATAAGATTTCCAAGCAGTAATGGAGAAGGGTGGCGGCGATCAGTGGTGAAGCAATTGGCGGAGCTTGGTTTTAAAGAATCTAAGTATTATATGCATATAAATTTTAGAAAATTTAGGTATAATTTATTAACGAATATATTTATAGCAGGGGTCTAAGTATAACGCGCATAAAAATTTTAGGGAGTCTATGTGTAATATTTTAAATGTCAAGAAGTTTAAGTGATTAAATGACAAATTTCAAGAGGTCAGAGTGTAAATTTCTCTAATTTATATCTATACTACTAATAATAAAAGACACTTTTATTTTTCCATTATACCCTTAGTCAATTTTACCCTTGACCCAATCCAATAGTTACCATACCTACTTTTATTATGGATTGTACCTATTCCAACATTGTATATTAAATGACTTTACAGATTCTAGGAATGAATGGATAATGAATATATTACCTCTTAGTTGGAACATGAAGAATGTGAGGCCTCCATACCTAGGCTGCTTTACACATTCTGGTATTGAATATTCAATGGCTATAAATTCTGGAATAAATAAACAAATGAATGTATTACTTCCCGATTGAAAATGAAGAATTTATTGTCTCTATATTTTGGTTGTACACATTATAGCATTGAGAATATTCAATGTCTATGAATTCTAGGAATAAATGTATATTACTTCTCAATTGAAACCTGAAGAATTTCAAGTCTTGCATCATTAGTCTTTCCATTTATTGTTTCCTTCCATTTGTCGTTTCTTATTGCTAAATCAACTTCCTTATTTTTGCAACAGGAACAAAGCTAATGTACAAGGTGGAGCAGTAGGTATCCTCTTAAGTTGCAGTTGCAGTTGCAGTGGAGGTCCTACTTTGGTCACACTTAAGGATACATTTCGACTGGTTTTGCATTCGAGTGTGGTTGTGGAAATCCAATTCTTGGGTATTTGGTTGTTATTTATGCTTTTGCTTTAGGTTATGTAAGAAGATCTTTGTCTTTCTTTGTTGTTTTACTTCAATGTGATGGAAAAACACAAACATTATACCCACTTAGTGAGGTATACATTTCTACTTTCTTTTTTCTCCTTGGTCAAAAAAATAAAAATAAAAATTAAAGAGGTATACATTCATTTGCTCCACACCGGCGAAATCGACCAACCATCATTCTTAATGAAGTGTGATAGTGCTCTGTTTGTTAATAACTGCTATGATGCAAGTTCATATTATCAAACTTGAATATCAAATATTTTACTTATTAATTATTTGCTGCTTAGATTTATTGATGACTTTGTAATAGTAAGCATTCTCGCATTTTTACCAAATCTATTATGTTATAACTATGCTCATATCTTCTATCTTTTGCCGGTGATTGGTATGCATTCTATAAACAATCCTCCTTAGATGACACATGTAATGTAACAAAAACCTTGACTGAGAGGTGATTAACTCCAGTACGATAAATACCTTTTTTTTTTTCTTTTTTGTCATTTGCATTTTATACTGTTCTCTTACAATATTATCAAACCCTCCGGTATCACCTATTGAAGGAATATTTTGTTAAATCTCTCTATCTCACTAAAACACATACTCACATTCAGACCTAATATGTCTCCACCTTACTTTGCCACATATTGCCTTTCACTTTGGTTTATAACTTCATGACTATTGTCTTCCTTTGTAAATTTTACTTATTTGTTTTCCTTCTTTTAGCATGTACAAGTGGGTATGTTAACCTGAAGTCTCCCAATTTATAACATAGTTACTAACAAACTTACAGGTTTGGCAAAGTAGCTACTTTTTTTTTTTGGGGTTTGCAAATATTAATAAAAAATTATACTTTAAAATAATCCATGGGCAACACACGTGGGGACTATCTAGCTATACAAAAAGCAAGCATGAAAACATTGGTTTAATCAACATTTCTAAGAATCTGAAAGCAAATTTTTTAAAAAGACGTTGGTTTGACCAACGTTTTACTTTATTTCAAATGACGTATTTTTTGGTATAAAATGTCATTTCAACTGACGTTTTTAAAAGTGCATGGGTTTGAGAAATAGTTTGAAAACGAATTTTTTTTGAGTATAAGTTTAAAAAAAAACATGGGTTAGGGTAAAGGCTCCAAATGTGGCTATTGTATTGTTGTTGTGTTCCACAGAACCAGGCCATGCAGCGAGAATGCTTCCACCCGGGCCTATAATATCAGGTTTCAGAATCCCTGGGCATGCCAAGCTAGGGCCTCTAGAAGAGAATGGAGAATAACGTACTCCAAATACAGTTCCTTAGAATATGATTGTGGCCATAGGCGACGATATCGAATTTATATAGGCTTTGACAGCTAGTCCTGCATCATATCCTACATGTGTTGCAGGAAGAACATGAAAATCAGCAATTGTAATATTACCATTTTGCTGTTGATTCATGAGAATCATTGCCGCACCACCAGCGTCCTTAACTGTTTGCCTCTTGGCAATCCTAGCTATCCCACCTCCTCTTTCACATAGCACAACCTTGCCTTGGACATCAGTGTTATTCAATGATCCTGGCCCGCACAATGCAGCATTTTGATCCCCATTCATGCCAGCGTAAACAAGAGGAAATAAATCGACGGGAAGAATCCATGTTTCCGTGTAGTGCCGTTGCTCTTATGCTTCTATCAATGGTGCTAGCACCAACAGTAAGAATCCATGGGGCTCATTAGATAACGAAGTATTGAATGGACCAGAGTTACCAGCTGAACAACTAACGACAATTCCCTTTTGAATTGCACCAAATGCTGAACAATGACATCGGCAAAGAAAGGAGAGGACCCTCCACCAAGGAAGAGAGAGAGCACATCAACGCCATCCTCAATAGCAGTGTCCATTGCGGCCAATATGTCACTTTCGCCACAGCCTGTCTCATCACAAACTTTTTAAATAGCCAAGTGAGCCATGCCCGCCGCAGTGTCATTGGCATTGGCAAAAATATTCGCCCCTTCCACATAGTTTCCGGCTGCAATGCTCGATGTATGGGTGCCATGTCCTTCCTCGTCGATTGGTGGTTCAGTCGGCCAATATGCCAGAAATTATGTTAAATGTGGCATTCGTTACTTTCCCACGAACTGTTTGCTTCCTCGTCGATTGACGAATGGACAGATCAGAAGAGTTCATGAGAGTGGACTTTTTGGATTGGAACTTGGAAATGCCGCTAATTAATTGTGTTTAGAATAAAAGGCGTTTAATTCTAAGTTAGTATAGAACTGTGATGATTCTGAACATTGCAGGTTGCCATTCATAGTGCTAATTGTTGTGTTTTATTTATGTTTACGGCATTTTTAATGCACACTTAAATAGACTTCATTCGAAAGCAGTAGTGTTGGCCCGACTTTCCCTAATGGTTTAACTGGGTCATCTATGAGCTAAACCAACCTTACATAGGGATTGCCAACATGTGTTCTTGGACAGATAAAACTCACAAACAATTACATAGGCCTGCAGATTAACTTAGTCATTTGTCTGGTTAACTTTGACAAGGAAAAACTCAAAGTTCTAGGTCTTGAAGAAGTCAATAAATTCATGCTAACATTGTGTGATTCCATTTTTGTTAATTCTGATCGGTTCATCGAGTTTTTAGAAAAAATATTAGATATAACAATGACATTATACGACATTGAATACCATGTGGATTTGATGGACTTTATTGATTTACTAACTACCAATATCTATCTCTGTTATGATGGAGTTTGTTAATTCTAAATATTATATATTAAACCATAACAGAGACAAATGACTGATATATCTACAATCCAGTAGCTAGCCCAGATTGTTTAGTCAACCCCAGATCCATTTCTGTGAATGGTTTACTTGGAAGAGGACTGGTGGGACTCTAGGTGGCTCTGCAGTCCTCGGGTTGATATGTGAAATAATAAAATTGTTGGGATATCCAAAGGGTGTCGAAAAGGTTAGTCAAGGTGTGATAACATGGAACAGTCGAGTATTACAGTTGATATCGTATTTAATGCGATGTAACCCCTCATTTATAGCGAACTGAGTGATAGTGACAAAACAAATAAATGCGCGCCTCCTATCACCTGCTATCTGGGAGTCTAAGGCTACTGTCATGATAGCTAAGCACTAATGGCTGATGCGCCAAGACGACGCGATCAGCTCTCCCGAGGAACTGTTTCCCCGAGTATTCAATGCTCAGTTGATGTCAGATGCCGATCTGGAGAATTTGGGTATTCGGAGAGTGGCATAAATGCTTGGCATTTGGCCTAACATTTTCCCATTTTTCTAGCATTCAATAAGAGGAGACGTGAGTAGAAAACACTCATTGCACGAGGAATAATATGTCAGATGTAAGATATCCAGATGAGACTGGAGATTTTTGGCAATCATTGTTAATTCAGGTATAAATACTCCTCACAAAAATGGACAAATATACGCAAACTCGAACCAGAAAAATAGTCTATTGAGTAAAACCTTTCGATCTTATATTGACTTAAGTTTCAGAGGAGATTAGCCAGGCTCTCGCCTGACCTCCTTTTTTCTAACTCTATTGTTTCAGATTTGTCAATTTAAAGATCGTTGTCTCACACTATTACAGGAATTATCCCGTGCAAGGACCATGAGACAGGAAATGCCCTCGGAGGATGTCTTGTTTTTTCTCCGATGAAGTATAAGAAACTTTATTGACTACGTAATGAGACAATAAAATTGGTGGGAACGAGATTGAGAAAGTCCAAAGCTTCCAGAAATAATGCGCTTGCCAAAATAGGGTCTCTTTTGTGCTTCGTTGTCGTCTTCTTTTGAAATTGTTCTTCGGGTTCTGTTGCCTTTGTGATTTATCCAACCCACTTTTACTAGTATTTTAACGGTCAATGGTGTTCGAATTATTTTGAGTGTATCTTGACTATTCTTCTATACAATTTGATTAAAATGAATTATCCACGTTGTGATTAGAGCATTAATAAGAAATAAATTACTCATGACCTGACCATCAGAGTGGAACTATGAGAAATATTTTGTGTATCTAATTTAGTGACTTTATTTAATTATATTATAGATCATAGTCATTGAATTGATAGTAAATCTTAATTAATAGTGAGATCTACTATCAATCTATTGATAAAAAATGATACAATCAACAAATTAAATCACTAAATAATGTTTACGTAGCATTGTCCTTTTAACTACATTATAGAAAAAGTATCTAAAAATTTTGGAGTCAAATTAAATCAAAAAAGAAAATTGATATTGATTTTAACATTTTAGGATTAGTTCTAAAAAAGTACATCTTTTGGGATCAAAGCATATCATTTTAACAGTTCATTACAAATTTTTTCGCTGTTAGAGATTAATTCCAAATAGACACTTTGGGTGCCGTATACTTATCCTAAACCAAAAAAAAAAACTTGTTGATGCATGACATTGTCACTGCTTTTATGATGAATGCTATTGAGACTTACTTTAGTGATTTAATTTGTTGACTTAATTCAATATAACTAATGAATTGATCGTTGACTCCATCAAATATTTATGTTAATTTAACAATTATAATGAAGACACGTCATTTAGGTCAGTAAATTAATTAGGTTATGTTTGTAAATACTAATAACATTACTCTTTATGATGTTTAAGAATCGAGATATTCATATTTTTTAAGTAATTTACTAAGATTTTACTATTATTTAAACCGTTGCTCTACCAAGACTAGAGGTGTATTTTGGACAATTCAATAATTGGATAGAGATTTTTAACTATTTAAATTTAGTTTGGGGACAAAATCTACCATTCTAAATTCGAATAATACTTGATTCAAAAAAAATAAATTTGAATAATATATACTTTTGTAAGAAGATTGGATTCTAGAGATTTAACCAAACTCCATATGGTGAGTTATAAGGATATGGTGACCCGACCACTAGCGAGATGATATAGGAGAATTTATTCCATGTAGTAGCTCCAATAAATCTAATGATCTCACTTTTTTAACAAATCTAATCCTTCAACATTTAGACACTACAGCAACAAGAGTTTCGTGTAGAAAATTTTCATTTAGCTCTTGCACTTAGTCTAACTATAGCAGTATAAATAACTACTTTGAGTTATCCCGGACTCTGCACTCTAATGTTAACCAATTTGTTGTTATTTCATGCAACAGAAATATGTTTTTGTTCTGTAAGTATAGTTTAGTTTTTCTTCTTGTGAACCCTTTTTGCTATGAGTTTTGCCCCTCTTAATATGGGCAGAGTTTTGGTGAAGTAATGAAGAGATCTATCATCTCTCGTCCACGAAAAAAAGATAACCAAATACATGAGGCTCATAATATTATGAGAACTACAAGAATCAGGTTTATGTATGATTTTACCTCTGCCACTAATTAATTAAGAACATAATCTTGGCTTGATTTGTGACTTCCATTGTTTCTATATCCATGGGTGTCATGATTTTTTGGCATAACGTTGTCCCATGCATGTTATGCTTGGTAATTGAAAAAGAAACAATAGCTCGTTAAAACAATATCAATTGTATGCATAAAAGATTGCAAACTTACTCTAGAAAATGAGCACCATTTTCTTTTCTCCAAAGATCCAAGTTTCAGAAATTTCAAATTGAATATTATTCAAGGCATTGGTGATACAAAATATCAGTTATTCGAGGCAATGAGTTAAACATTACAAACTCACTACAATTAAAGTCCCTTGGAAATTTCAATCTTATATGATAGTTGGAATCTTGACAGCCTTTTTCTGTCACTCCAACTTAACGGAGATGGGGCTTCTAACGTGGTACTTACCAGAAATCCAAACAAGAGCTCCTTGAACATAGGGCACACTGACTCCACTGTTGGCTAATCGGGTAAATGTTACTTGGTACGTCAAATTTTCATTCACCTCTGAGAAGTCGAGCCTCGAAGGCTCGACACTAAGAACAACTCCTGGTACTTCATAAATGGCAGGATAGTAAGATGAGTTAGCCGGGCCGACATTTGTCACTGTCCTCGTATATGTCATTGTATATGTCTGAGGGGTTGACCCAAGTATTATCGCAAATGAAGGATAGTTAAGTTCTGCTTCAGGTATGCTTGATACTTGGGAGCAGTTAATGGTCCGTTGCACAATGACACTAACATCTTGGTCAGTGTAACCCAATCCACATAAATAGGGGATGTAATCATCGGGTTGGATGTCATAGACAAGCCCTGGGTCGTCTGCTTTAGATGGGTTGACATGCCCTGCCCCGAGGGCAAAAATGTCAGCCGGAAGAAACCTCTCGTCAACGATAGGCATTTTATCGAGGTTTAACTGATCAGCAGTTGTCATGATTGCAGACTTAATAGCAGCAGGTGACCACTCTGGGTGTGCACTTTTCAGCAATGCCGCGATGCCACTGAGGTGAGGACAAGACATTGAGGTGCCAGAAATTATGTTAAATGTGGCCTTTGTATTGGTGTTGTTTTCCACAGAGATGGGCCATGCAGCAAGAATGCTCACACCAGGACCAATAATGTCAGGTTTCAGAATGCCTGGGCTTGCCAAGCTAGGGCCTCTGGAAGAGAATGAGGTAACCATAGGAGCATAATCTACTCCAATTACAGTTCCTTGGAATATGATTGTAGCCATAGGTGACGAGGTCGAGTTTATATAGGCTTTGACATCTTGTCCAGCTTTGTAGCCTACATGTGTTGCAGGAAGAACATGAGCATCAGCTAATGTACTATAACCATCCTGTTCTTGATTCATAAGAATCATGGCGACACCACCCGCGTCCTTCACTGTTTGCCCTTTGGCAATTCTAGCTATCCCACCCCCTCTTTCACACAATACAACCTTGCCTTCGACATCAGTGTTATTCAATGATCCTGGCCGGCACAATGCAGCATTTTGATCCCCATTCGTGCCAGCGTAAACAAGAGGCAATAAATCGAACGACATAGGAGGCTGAAAAAGAGACTCGCCATCAAACAAAACAAGGTTTCCGAGCACTGCCATTGCTCTTATGCTTCGATCGATGGTGCTTGCACCAACAGTAAGAATCCATGGGGCCTCGTTAGATAACGAAGCATTGACTGGGCCAGAGTTTCCAGCTGAACAACTAACAAAAATTCCCTTTTGAATTGCACCAAATGCCCCAATCGCAATGCCATCATCAAAGAAAGGAGAGGACCATCCACCAATGGAGAGAGAGAGCACATCAACGCCATCCTCAACTGCAGTGTCCATTGCGGCCAATATGTCACTTTCGCCACAACCTGTCTCACCACATACTTTGTAAATAGCCAAGTGAGCCAGAGGAGCCATGCCAGCCGCTGTGCCATTGGCATGGCAAAAAACATTCGCCCCTTCAACATAGTTTCCGGCAGCAGTGCTCGATGTATGGGTGCCGTGTCCTTCGTCATCAATTGGTGGTTCTGTCGAGCCACTCACAAAGTTCCTTGCACCGATGAGTTTGTTGTTACACATCGTGCCATTTAGTTCACATTTCCCCTTCCATTTAGCCGGTGGAGGCGGTACTCCTTCGTCGCTGAAGGAAGGATGGGATGGAGTAATTCCAGTGTCCAAAACGCCAATAATCACACCTTTTCCATAATTTGAGCCTTGCCAAAACCCTAAATTTTGGTGCAAACCCAAGAAGCTTGGACTATGAGTTGTATGTAAAGGCAACACCTTTTGGGGCCGAGCTGATACAAACCCATCCTTCTTTTCCAAGGCTTTTGCTTCCTGCGGTGAAAATCTGGCTGCAAACCCGCTGATCACATTGCGATATGAATACACCATGCGTGATTGCTTATTCATGCTCGTGGTAGTTGGCGGCAAAAATGATTGGTACCAGCTTTCTAGATCTTCTGAATGAGTGAAAACTCGACGATTGGGCTGATTCAGATGGACGATATATGTATCTAAATTGCTCTGGTCAATGTCAGCATTACTTTCCCATGAACTTTCTGGTTCGTGAGCGGTGGCTAGAGTGAAACTGAACATGCAAGCGATAGTGAGAATGAACAAGAGAGGAATATTTGGCCTACCCATCTTGTTCTCCATGATTGCAGAACTAGAATATGTTTCTGCCTTGCGTTAGAACAACCACCACACGAGGTATATATACTATATATTCCACAGAGAGAGAGAGATAGTTGGAGGGAGAAATTAAGGAGTGTTGGCTGCAACGATGGCCGGCTCGGAGAAACTTGAAGATGTTGATTGGATTGGGACTTGGAAATGCTAATCTATGAGTTTGGAACAAAACGGCGATTAATTCTAAGTTAGTGTAGATCTGTGATGATTCTGAATATTGCAGGTTGCCATTTATAGTGCTAGTTGTTGTGTTATTTTATGTTTACGGCATTTTTAATGCACCCTTAATATAATTCATTGGAATACATTAGTGTTGGCCTGCCTTTCCCTAATGGTTTAACTGGGTCATCTATGAGCTAAACCCACCTTAGATAGGGATTGTCAAAAGGTGTTTCTGAATAGATAAAACCCACAAACAGTCACATAGGCCTCTAGATTAACTTGGTCATGTGACTGGATAACATTGACAAGGAAATCAAGGTTTGGATTTCCATTTTGTTAATTCCGGATCGGTCCATGGTAGGGACTGTCATTTAAAATATTGAATTTAATTTCATACACCGTCCTAAATCAATTCCAAACTACAGTTACTTCTATGTTATCACAATTTTTCACTTCTTGCAATACTCGGTGATTATGATTCAGTCCAATACAAGTCCTTGAAATAATTACATGATATATTGACAACAGTCAAAATATTTACGTCGTTGCCTATTCAAGGATTAATATGAGTTTTCAAAAATGAAAATTATCACCAACAGCACAACCATAAACAAAGACAAAAGAGTTACCTACAATCCAGTGGCCCATATTGTTAAGTCCACAGGTTCATTTCTGTGAATCCTTTACTTGGAAGAGGAACATGAGACAAGAAATGCCCTTGGACAATGTCTTCTTTTTTTTCCCCCCTCCTATGAAGCATAAGAAACTTCATTGACCACCTAATGAGACTAATTAAAACATTGGTAGGAACGAGATTGATATTGTATTTGGAATTGAGGGAGGGTCTAGCTAAGATTTGCAACGGAAAGTCCAAAGCTTCCACAAAAAGTGGACTTGCTAAAATTGGGTCTCTTTGTCTTTTTTTTTTTTTTTTCCGAAAAGATCAATGTTATTGTGATATAATTTCTTAATCTAATTTATTATAATCTTTGGATTAATTGTGGACTCATCAAACATCAAAATTTTGTGTTCATTCAATGATTCTACTAAAATCACATTATTAAGTCGATAAATTAAGTTAAATTTTTAAATCCAAAAAATATTATTCTTTTAAAATATTCTTTGGATCCCCTTGACTTTGTGATTTACCATCGTTATTTCACAAAAGAAAAGAGTGGAACTAAAGTACCGAAAAAGTATCATATTAAAAATTATATTTCTTGTAAATTTAGTTATAATTTTTTGGAATCAAGTTAAATCCAAAAAATAGTTAGTATTAATTTTAACATTTCGTTGTATTACTTACGATACCTCTGCAAACCACCCTTACACACGTTGCTTTATTTCTCAATTTTTGCACGTTATTTTGGGTCGATGGAAATTTGAAAGGCTCATTAGTCTCATTTTGTAATTTTTTTTTGGGGTTAATTACACTTTATTCCTAAATTAAATCGTCATCTCATTTTGGTCTTGAACTATTGAATCGGTTTTACTTTGTTCCAAATGCAAATTCTTATTATTTTTTGAACGAAAAGAATTAATATGTTGGGACAACCTAAATCAACTTTCCTTACGAGGGATGGTTTAGAGGCCATCGGCTTGTTAGTCTTTGGGTACGACCCGGCCTACATACGACTTGTTGATGTGACACATCGTGAGTTTTTGAGTCCTCTTTTTTGTTTTTTTTTGGGTCCTGAGCTTGAGTCGTTGAAGGCCCGTTAGAATGTGGAATATGTTATGCAACCAGAGACCTCAACTTTGATTCGGACGATGAAATTTTCTGTTCCCAAAAAAAATAAAAACTTAGATTAGAAATTAAACTATCGAAGGACGAAGTCTAATTTTAGGCAGCGAAACGAACCCTTCTTTCCTTTGTTTCATTTTTTTTTTGTTTAACGGTCAATGATGTTCGAGTCAGATTACGCGTACCTCAATTAATCTTCTATGTAATCCGGTCAAAAACAGGTCATTCACGCAAGAATTAGGATATTTATGAAGAATAAATCCCTCAACATGGCCCCCAAAGAATTGTCAAGATAGGAACTCAGGATATCGAAGTTTACAACTCGTCTCTATTACTATTTAATCTAACCCTTTGTTTAATTTTCTGTTTGTTTAAGGGTATTGTTTCCAAGGCAACAGATTAATAAGGAGAAATCTTCAACAAGACAACAGATTAGTCAGGAAACAACTTCAACAAGGCAACAGACTACGTACTTGTAGGCAGCAAATTTCCAACGAGGCAACAAACAATTTCTAGCAGTTTCAAAGCATTCTATCACAACTTTTCCATCTTTTGCAAGTGAGGTTTACTTAGTAGAGTTTGTTGGAATAGTACTAGGTGATTTATATTCATTAGGTGGGTACAGCGTCGCAGAGTGAAGTAATGTCCATTGCCCATCAGCGATATCTACTGTCGATTAGGGTGCAGGAGACATAGCCCCTTTGATAAGCAGAGGGTATATTGGAAATTTTTAATATATATTTGGTAGAAGAGTATTACTATGATTTTTTGAGACTTTGTTTATTAGTTGTGATGGACGGCCCTAGGACTAACTCAAATAACGGTTTTGACCCAAATTAGGTCAAACTCAGATAGTGAGCTCAGCCTAGATAAATTTCAGTGGGTCTTGTCCAGAAGAGACTCAGATCTAGTCAAACTCACCAAATCCCCCGAGAGTTATGTCATCCTAAAGTCAAGGAGTCAATAATGCCATCAGAGGAGGTCTACCACGCCATCCTAAAGTCTAGGACCAGGTCTTGAAGAGATCTTAACGCCCTTTCTGCAACTACTTTATTTGTTTCGAGGATGGCGCCCACTCCACCAAATCAACATTTCTGCTATTGATAAAATACTTCAATTTGTTAGGATACGCCTATAAATTGTAAACTCAACCTAAACATAGAGGGCATCTCTCACATTTTGTACCTCGTCTATTACTCACACTTGAGTGCCCAATACTTTTTGAAGCAATAAAACACCCAGGTCATCTTAACTCTTCACGGTGGATTATCTTACTTTGACCGAACCATTTAAATTGTGTTTTGTTTGTGTTGACTCTCTCCTTATTTAGTTACTGTATTAATTACTTGACAGGTAATGTATAAAACTAATTTGTACATCATTAAGTTGGATCAAAATTATGGTATTAACTGGTAGTTATAAATAAGTTAAAGAATTCTTTACCACTGGTCAGCTTCTCAAGGAATTGAATATTACTATTATTGCTCTTGTTCCTAAAGTCCCCAATCCCACAAACATGTCTGATTTTAGGCCCATCTCATGTTGTAATACCCTCTATAAGGTAATCTCCAAAATCATAGCAAATAGGCTGAAAATTTTGCTTTCCCATGTGATCAACCCAAGCTAAAATTGCCTTTATAAAGGGAAGGAGAATAGGGGACAATATTCTTGTGGCCCAGGAATTGCTAAGGAACTATCATAAGAATGATGGGCCCTTCAAGTGTGCTATCAAGGTTGATTTAATGAAAGCTTTTGACATAGTTGATTGGGATTTCTTGCTCGATGTGCTTGCTGCTCTTAATCTCCCCAAAGTCATGGTCAAATGGATTAGTGAATGCATTACTACTCCTAAGTTTTCTATCAATGTTAATGATGAATTGGCAGGGTACTTCCCAAGTGGCAGAGGTCTTTGACAAGGTGACTCAATGTCTCCTTATTTATTTGTCATTGTGATGGATGTGCTGTTAAGAATTCTTGAGCAAGGCATTCATGATGAGCCTCAGTTTAAATATCATTGGAGATACAGAAGAAAAAAGTTCTCTCATCTTTGCATTGCAAATGATTTAATCATGTTATGTCATGGGGACCCTAAATCAGTTGAAGTTCTTAGACGGGCTCTGGATAAATTCCAGATGTTATCTGGCTTAAAGGCTAATCCCTCCAAGAGTCACATCTTCCTTTCAGGTGTTCAAGATGAGCAACAACAGTTGATGGTTGAGTGTTTCGATTTTTCTATTGGTTGTCTGCCTATGAAATATCTTGGGATCCCTATTACCACCACTAAGCTCAAGTTGCAAGACTGCTCTTTATTACTTGAAAAAGTGGACTCAAGGATAAACTCTTGGGTTAATAGAGCTCTGTCTTATGTTGGGAGACTCCAACTCATTAAATTTGTGTTATGTAGCATTCAAGTTTATTGGGCTAGTCATCCTATGCTTCCTAAGAAGATTCTCCATGCTATTGATCAGAAACTAAGATCATTTTTATGGTTTGGTACTGAAATGAAAACAAAGGGGGGTCAAGGTTGCTTGGAGTGAGGTTTGTGTACCCATAAAGGAAGGGAGCTTAGGATTGAAAGATTTAAGGGCTTGGAACAAAGCTCTCATGCTCAAGCACCTCTGGCACTTAATTTTTAATGAGAACAACACTTGGACCAATTGGATCAAGGAGCATCATCTTAGAGGCAACAGCATTTGGGAAGTCAAAACTCCACAGATCTCTTCATGGAACTGGAGGAAGCTGCTGCAAGTTAGGGAATTAGCAAGACCTTTCCTTCATTATGTTATTGACAATGGTAGGAATACATCTCTATGGCATGATTTTTGGCATCCTAACGGTCCTCTCCTTCTTAAATGGGGTCCTAGAGTTATTTATGATTCTGGGATCACTAAGAATGCTAAAGTTGCTTCCATTATCCAAGGAAACCAATGAAGGTGGCCTTCAACAAATCCTAGAAACTCCAGAATTATTGATGAGATCATATCTTTTATGCCCAATTACTCCCTTACAATTGAGAAAAAGGATGAGATCAAATGGCTTCCCCAAGTCAATGGCAAGTTTTCTACCTCTCAGCTTGAAATCAAATTAGGAGCAAGAAACCAGAGGTGTTGTGGTACCATCTCCTTTGGTTCAATCTTTGCATTCCTCGGATCAGTTTTATCCTTTGGCTTGCTATAAGGTGTAGACTGGCCACAAAGGACAGAATCCATAGTTTTTCACCCAACATTGGAACTACTTGTATACTTTGCAGAGTTGATCAAGAATCTCACTCCCATCTTTTTTTTGAATGCTCATACTCAGAAAGAGTTTGGAAGAATGTCATCAGTAAGTGTGATTGGTCATGACAATCTTCTTCTTGGCAAAGTCTCATTGAGGCTATGTCCACCCAATGGAAAGGCAAACATCTTCAGAATTCCATTAGGAAATTATGTCTTGCTGTCACTGTTTATAATATTTGGGGAGAAAGAAATCATAGAATTTTCACCAATAAGCATAATGATCCAGGTACTACCCAGATGATGATTTTGAATATGGTGAGAAGTAGGCTTCTTTCAATCAAAATCAAGGACACCTATCTTCATAGACAGGCTGCTTCTTCTTGGCAACTTTCAGGTTCTTGTTTTTGCATCTGATGTAAATTCGATTTGTTGTTTACTGGCTTGTAATCTGTGGGGAGTGCAAAATGCAAACCCCCCAGACTTCCTTTGCCTACTTTTGTTGGACTAGTTGTAGGTTGTTACAATATTGTCCTTTTGTCTCTGTTTTTGTTCTGTTTTCCTTTGGGATTGTGTTGCTATGTACATTTGCATACTCAATATACCTTCTTGGTTTATTTACCCAAAAAAAAAGTTATAATCCTTTGGAGATTTTGATATATAGTGAAGTTACTGTCTCTTTCTATATTGAACCACATAAATTTTGTATTTTTATTCTTAGATATTTTATTTTTGGACTGTTCACTGCACTAGCTATACATTCACAACGCAGGGCTTAGATTACAAACGATGCCTTTGTCTCGGCAAGAATCATAAAATGTGCAATATGTTAAACAACTATTTATTCTAAACGTTTAATATGTTGGAAAGTATGTAAGTTAAGTATTTATACTTCAATACGTTCTCTCACGTGCCGTGCAGGCTAGATTTTAGGTTTAGCACGTGAAAACCCTTTTAATAATTAGGGGGCGAGGTTCAAATACAAGGTTAGAGAAGAGTATAACATAAGTATTTATTTAATACTTTCCCTCACGTGTAGCCCCTCTTTGGGTGGCTCATCTCTAATACTATGTTGAATAACTATCTAACCTAAAAACTTAAGCTGTTAGAGAATAGTGCAATATAATTATGTATCTAATACAATATTCATGTAATTTCTTCTAACATATGTAAGTTCAGTTACTAATATAAAATCTGGTGGAAAGAAGTCAAACAACTGCAAGATAATGAAAGTTAAGAAAGATCTAACGAAAATATCTTGGGATTAATATAACATCAACATCTTTAGACCTCCCATTAAATGTAGAGATGTGAAGGTACAACCTACTAGAGTAATGGTCGGCAACCTCGACCAGTCAATGGTAGATAATCACTCATGGGGGCCAAGTGCCAACCCACACCAAGGAAAGTTGTGATCCATGGTCCACTATGAGATGGATCCTAACTGGTTTTTAATGAAAAAAATCACTTTTATCACTTTTATTTATTGAACTAAATGTTTGAGAGTTTTGAAATAATTAGGACTTATGTATTACATATTTACCAAATGTCAAATGTCGATACGGATAAGTATACGAATTAGTCGAATCGTATCTAATTTGACACCTTTTAAGTTGATTTCGTTTCCCATTACTTATAAATTTTATTTTTTGAAATGATTTGGCTGAGCCGTCCGAAATCTCTCTGTTTGGTTCACCGAATTGGCCAATATAATCTCGTGCCAATACTACGATTTGGCTCAAGTTTCACATCAAGTTTAACTTTTTTTTTAGTTCATATCATCCGATAATTTTTCTTTTCATTTCCACAATTTTAATCGGATGTAAGTGACTTAAGGGGACAAAGTTATTGAAATTCCAAAAAATGTGATAAATTTGAAGAATATAAAACTCAATTTTAAAAAATAAAATAAAATAGAACTTGCATTATGATCATATATGAAAAAATATTTAGCCCAAAACAGTTCACAACAAAACAAAAATCAGAATCAAGAAAATTAGGGTATGGAAAATTCAAGGCTACATGCTGCTAGAACTGTAGGCATGAGCCACCTTTTGTTTACTCGAACATAACACAAATTGGGCTCCTAACAACGTGTTTGGCAGAACTCCATTTGAGGGATCCTTGAACATATGCGAAATTCACGCCTGCGGCTGATTTGCTGAATGAAACTTGATATGTCAACTTCTGGTTAATCTCTGAGAAGTCCAGCCTAGGGCTCAACACTCACATCAACTCCTAGTGGTAGAACAATCTCAACAGCGAAAGATGAAGTAGCGTCGCCAACATTAGTTACCGTCATGGTATTTGTCTGGTTTGTAGACCCAAGTGTGATAGCAAATGAAGGATAGTTTAGTTGTGCTTCAGTAATTTTGGATTCTGTTGAACAATTCACCCTTTGTTGTGTGATTATGCCAATCTGTTGGTTTGTATAATTCAAGCCGCATAAGTAAGGTATGTAATTGTCAGGATCGATGTCGTAAACAAGCCCTGGATCATTTGCTCTTGATGGGTTTACATGGCCTGCACCAGTTGCAAAAAAGTCTGCTTGAGTCAACCTTTGATCAACAATGGGCTTATTATCAAGGTTTAGCTGATCAGCAGTAGTCATGATCGCGGACTTGATGGCAGCGGGAGACCAATCAGGGTGTGCACTTTTGAGCAAAGCTGCGATGCCACTGAGATGAGGACATGACATGGAAGTACCCGAGATTATGTTAAACGTCAAATTCGTATCGGTGTTGTTTTCCACAGAGAAAGGCCATGCTGCAAGAATGTTCACACCGGGGCCGATAATGTCTGGCTTCAGAATTCCTGGGCTTGCACGGCTAGGGCCTCTGGAAGAGAAGGAAGAAACCATTGGAGCATTATTAGCTCCAATAATAGTTCCTTTGAATAAGATTGTAGCCATTGGCCTTGCTGTGGAATTTATATAGGATTTGATCTTTAATCCGTCAGCATAACTCACACGTGTCGCAGGAAGGACATGAGCTTCAGCTGATGTACTGTAGCCACTGGAATCTAGGTTCATGAGAATCATTGCGGCACCACCAGCATTCTTCACTGTTCGTCCTTTGGCAATATTTGATACCCCACCTCCAACCTCACATAACACTATTTTCCCTTGGACATCACTGTTGTTCAATGATCCTGCAATGCATTGGCTACCCTTCATTCCTGAGTAGATCAGTGGCAACAAAGTTGAAGTGAAATCTTTAGGCTGAAAAAGTGATTCGCTGTTGAATTCCTCTTTGTTTCCTAGTATTGCAGTTGCCCTTATGCTTCTATCAATAGTGTTTGCACCAACAGTGAGAATCCATGGGGCCTCATTCGACAATGATGAGCTAAGTGGACCTCGATTACCAGCCGAACAACTCACAAAAATGCCCCTTTGCATTGCATTAAATGCACCAACTGCGGTATTGTCATCGTAGAAAGGACGGGACAATCCACCAAGTGAGAGGGAAAGCACATCAACACCATCCTCAATAACAGCGTCCATTGCAGCCAATATGTCACTGCCACCACAACGAACTTCACATACTTTGTAAATAGCTAAGTGAGCAAGAGGCGCAATGCCAACTGCAGTGCCATTGGCATTGCCAAACACATTGGCACCTTTCACAAAGTTTCCAGCAGCTGTGCCTGATGTGTGTGTGCCATGTCCATCATCGTCGAAAGCTATCTCAGTTGATCCACTGAGAAAATTCCTTACACCAATGAGCTTGTTATTACAAGTAAAAGTGCCATTGAGTTCGCACTTTCCCTTCCATTTAGCAGGCGGAGGTGGCATCCCTTCATCGTTGAATGAAGGATGGCTAGGGTGTATTCCAGTATCCAAGACTCCAATAATCACACCTTTACCATAATTTGAGCTATCCCAAAAGCCCAAATTTTGGTGCAACCCCAAGAAGTTCGGAGTGTGAGTTGTATGCAAAGACAATAATTCTTGGGGCCGGGCGGCCAAGAAGCCATCCTTCTTTTCCATGGCTTTGACATCCTCCGGGGACAATCTGGCCGCAAATCCGGTGGCCACATTACGGTACGAGTAAATTATGTGCGGTGTTTCGTTTGAGCTTGTGGTGGTTGCGGGCAAAAATGATTGATACCAACTTTCCAAGTCTTCGGAATTTGTGAGAACTTGGTTCGGGCAAGTTAACATGAACAATGTAAGTTTGTAGATTGCTTTGCTCCACCATATCAGTCGTCGATGCTGCCAATGAACCGAAACTTAGGGTGTGAAACAAGGCGAGAACAAGCATGAAAGCCATGTTTGACAGTAGTCCACCCCATTTCTTCTCCATTAATGTTGAAGAACTTGAGAATGATTATTGCTTTGAGTTGGTAGATTGAACGGAGCAAAAAAAACTGATGATTTGTTGAGGAGTTTGCATTTTGGAGACTGATATTTATAGTGTTTGATCCTATTATTTAAAGCTTACAATCTCTGGTATGTGCCAGCCAATAAATAATTGTTAGAAAAAATTGTGATTTGATGACTTTATAGAAGAACTTGTTCAAAGGGTCATTACTCCTACGCGGTACACCACCCCAACTGTCTGACGACCCTGATCACACCATGTCAACTTGACAATGGAAGAAAAAGATTTTTTTGGTAAAAAATACTCAATCCCTTAACAAGATTTTATATTAAAAATTGTTGTTTGAACTTAAAATATTGACATAATTTATTGATTTAATTAATTTCAACTATTAAATAGATAATAGATTTCAATAAATACTAAGACTAACAATTAAATCAATGACAATAATTAATTAAGTTAACAAATTAAGTTGAGGTGCACATAAGTTAATTGATTCGGACATCCCTAACTGTTTAAGTCAAAAAAATTATAATAAATTAAATCAGTATTTTAGGTCCGATTAACATTGTTCTTTTATATTTCAAACCAAAATTTATTAGTTCAACTTTAATCTTATGTTAAATATACTTACGTGTGTGCGTGAATTAGGTTTTCAAAGAACATCATCCCATTATTTAAGTTCTTGTGTCAAATGGTCTGTTGGGCAACGTAGATGAAAAAATGAAAGAATAAAAAGTATGAGTAATAAATTTTTTATTCTTCAAGGGAGGAATCCTTCCTTCTCTTGTGTTTGGTAAAATAAATGAAAAGTAGGAAGGATTAATTTTTTTGTGTTTGATAAGATTAATTTTTTTAATATATATATATATATTACCATTTATATCTGTATATAAAATTAATATATGAATAATATATAATTGGTAAATATATATCAAATGATGTATAGACAAATAACATATATTTCAATACACATAATTAATTTTATATCCATTTATTCTTCCATTTTTAGAGGGATTAATTTTGATAAATTGGAAGAAAAGCTTATACATCTACTTTTCTATCCTTCTTATTTTTATTTTTTTTTAACAAACATGATATTTTATTTATTCTTTTAACTTTTAATCTTTTTATTTTTTTCATCTTGTCAAACGAACCACGGAACGATTTATCTTCTTGTTGACAACACCAAGATGACTGTTTTAACATGCCATTAGCCTCTTTGTCAAATAATAAATAAATAAATGGGTACCTAAATTTAACAGTATTTTATAACAACCCTATCAGCTATCTATCTAAGAAATTAACTATTCATATAAAAAAGTGGACTTCACCTCTCGTTTTTGTAAATTTTGTATTAGATAATAATATTAGGGACAATAATTAGGCAGTATCATCGGTGCATTTACTGTTTACTCCTTTGTACTTGTATGCATTAAAGCTTAGCTGGAATTATTGACAATTTCCAAATACTCGGCCTTTTGAATTTTCAAAAGGGCAACATCAATGTTTAGGCCCGGGGGGAATTAATGTTTCACAGATTAAAGTCTTTCACAACTACAACAACTACCCTCCAATCTATCCATATACTGCTTATTTTGAATTATTCTTCAAGCTATGACTGTCTTCCCAAGAATGCAGTCAAGCACAACTTCTAAATACTTCATTATTATTGATGTTTCTCCTCGTATTATCAGAATGATTTTATTCTTGACACCGTAGAAGCAACATCAATAAAATTTAAATTACGTGAGAATTAATTTAAGTGTTTTGGATATGTTTATAGAACACCTAGTATTTCACCAACAAAACCGAGTGATTTGATACATAGTCCCAAATTAACTTTTAATGAGATACAAACAAAAAAAGATATGATAAAACTTGACTTTTGATAAAAAAAAAAAAAAAAAAACACTATAAAGAAATAGAATTTGTGCAGCCCTCACTGTGTACTGTTTCATCAAAGGGTTAGCTTTCATACTGAAATGATTAAATTGTTTCAGCTATAATACTCGGCTTTTGAGACAATAAACTACTTTTTTTGGCTCCTCCTATTCTCCACCAACCAGCAATTAGGCAATTGAAAATTCTTTCTCAAGTTGAAAATTTCATAGCCTTTAGTATTACTTTTTTCCTTATTTTTTTAAATCTAAAGAAAACGTTTATATAACCCAACATCCAATTTTCATAAGGGTTATATTGTGGTACCTAATTACCTAACCTAATATTCGAATTAATGATGTATGAGCAGATACGATTTGCTACCATTATTGTAAATCTAACTGGCATAAATTTTTATGTCAGGATTTTATGTTATGTATTAGTTCCTCTAGAATGTTAGTTTTTTACAACCTCCTTAATTGACACATTACTAAAGCAAAACCCTAATTGTTCTCATTACTAAAACAAAATTTTTAACATTACGAAAATTATCAAAAATAGAAATATGTGATTTTCCTAATTAACATACAAACACGTATCGCCTGGACTCTAATAAAACTAACGGTGCTGAATTCGAAATTTTTTATGATTATTATTAATTTTTAAAATTTTCCTTAAAATGACAAAAACAAAATTTTGAGGATCTAAACGTTAGAATTTGACCCAAAACTGAAAGAGTTCATGACAAAGCGATGAGTCTCGATCGTTGGCTCGATCTGGATCAAATACCATTGATCCCACTGAATTCCGAATCTAACTCAATTTACCTCAACTATTACTTTTTGACCTTGATTGTTTTTTAAAGACACAGTGGTCTGTCTATTCCTCACTAATTCATACTAAGGTGCTAAACCTCAACCCCTCGAGTTTCATTATGTTTTGTGTTTTATGTCTATGTTACTTGTTCTCCGATCAGAATCTTTTGCATGTAACCACTCATCCAACTTCCCCACACTTTAAATTTCTCACATATATGTGATGCTTATTTATGTTTGAACGGGATGGGTGCAGATGATAAAATGGGATGAGAAAGTGAATTTTATGCATGGCACGGGGTTGAATTTTATGCATGTGAATTTCTAGTATTAGGGTTTCATTTTTGCACAGGGATACAGAAGATCAAATAGATTCGAAAATTGTTGAATATACATTGGTATTTGCTAGCTCTTGCTTAGGTTGTTAGTAAACTCCAGAAGCTTCTTGGTGATGGGTCGAGGTGGCATGGTTTCTTGATAGATCATTAGGGAATAAAAATTTTAGGATTATAAGATGGTAGTGCAGTAAAAACTTAACGAAGCAGTAAGGCTTGGACTTCCCAAAGTTATCACCGTCACTATCTAGGTTTTATTTTCAACCTTATCTTGGTTTAGTACAAAAGTATAAAATTGAAGGAGGTTACCAATGATTACCCTCAACTACATAGCCTTTGCTTCTAACAAAATGCATTTCTTGCTCTTTTTCTTTTCTTCTATTATACTTTTCATCACAATCTTTTGTCCTTCCAGTTGTTTTTCAAGTGAAATGACCACAAAACTGTATAACTTCACAATCCGTCTAGGCTAAAATCTGTTGACCCTCGTCCACATCTCTTGAATTTATAGAACGGAAAGATCAAATTTTAAATATTTTTTTAATCATCGATCTGGAAATATTTTTTCCGTCACTCTGAGAAGTTTAAGACCAATGTAGGTGACTTAAGGTGGATGATCTTATTGAAATTTTTAAAGAGTTCAAGAACATCAAGGAATACAAAACTCATTAAAAGTGAATTTCCAATGTGATCACTTATTGAAGAAACAAATGAAATCCAAGCAGTTCACTCTAAACAAAATCCAAAATCAACAAAATTAAGGCAAACGAAATTGAAATCTACATGCTGCTACAATATGAGCCATCCCTTCCTTACTGGAACATAACAGAAATTGGGCTTCTAACAACGTATTTGGCAGAAGTCCACCTAAAGAATCCTTGAGCAGATGTGTAATTCCCGCCTGTGATTGATTTGCTAAATGTAACTTGATATGTCATCTTCTGGTTCACCTCTGTGAAGTCCAACCTGGAGGGCGTAACGCTCATATCAACTCCCTGTGGTGGAACAATCTCGACAGTGTAAGTTGAAGTTGCCTCCCCAACATTAGTCACCGTCCTGGTATATGTATGGTTAGTAGACCCAAGTGTGATAGAAAATGAAGGGTAGTTTAGCTGTGCCTCAGGTATGATTGATTCCACTGAACAATTCACACTCTGTTGTGTGATGACACCAATCTGTCTGTTTGTGTAATTCAAACCACATAAGTAAGGAATGTATTCGTTAGGCTGGAGATCATAAACAAGCCCAGGATCATTGGCTCTCGATGGGTTGACATGGCCTGCACCAGTGGCAAAGATGTTCGCTGGAAGTAGCCTTTCATCGAGAATGGAATTGTTATCAAGATTTAGCTGATCAGCAGTAGTCATGATCGCGGACTTGATGGCAGCAGGAGACCAATTGGGGTGAGCACTTTTGAGCAAAGCTGCGATGCCACTAAGATGAGGACATGACATTGAAGTACCTGAAATAATGTTAAATGTCAAATCTGTATTGGTGTTGTTTTCCACAGAGATAGGCCATGCAGCAAGAACATCCACACCAGGGCCTATAATGTCGGGCTTCAAAATTCCTGGGCTAGCAGGACTAGGGCCCCTGGAAGAGAAAGAAGAAACCATCGGAGCATTATTAGCTCCAATTACAGTTCCCTTGAATAAGATTGTAGCCATTGGACTTGACGTTGAATTTACATAGGCTTTGATTTTCAATCCGTCAGCATAACTAACATATGTTGCAGGAAGGACATGAGCTTCAGCTGCGAGAGTGTAGCCTCTGGACACTGGATTAATGAGAATCATAGCGGCTCCACCGGCATCCTTCACAGCTTGTCCTTTGGCAACTCTTGATATCCCGCCACCAACCTCACAAATCACTACCTTCCCTGTAACATCAGTATTGTTCAATGATCCTGTGTCGCAGAATTGAGCTGATTGAATTATTTGGCTACTGTTAAATATTGGGTAAAAAAGAGGCAACAAAGTTGAAGGGAAATCTTTTGGTTGGAAAAGTGATTCGCCGTTGAACTCCTCATTGTTTCCTAGCAGTGCAGTTGCCCTTATGCTTCGGTCCATAGTGCTTGCACCAACAGTGAGAATCCATGGGGCGTCATTCGCTACTGAGGCATTGAAAGGACCTCGATTACCAGCTGAACAGCTTACAAAAATGCCTTTTTGCATTGCACTGAATGCACCAAGTGCAATGCTATCATCGTAGAAAGGATTGGAAATTCCACCAAGGGAGAGAGAAAGTACATCAACGCCATCCTCAATAGCGGCGTCCATTGCAGCCAATATGTCACTGTCACCACATCCAGAGCTGCATACTTTGTAAATGGCCAAGTGAGCAAGAGGCGCCATACCAACCGCGGTGCCATTGGCATTGCCAAAAACATGGGCACCTTTCACAAAGTTTCCGGCGGCTGTGCTGGCTGTGTGAGTACCATGTCCATCGTCATCGACCGCTATCTCAGTTTCTCTGCTCACAAAATTCCTTACACCGATGAGCTTGTTATTACAAGAAAAAGTGCTATTGAGCTCGCACTTTCCCTTCCATTTAGCAGGCGGCGGTGGCATTCCTTCATCGCTAAACGAAGGATGGCTTGGCCATATCCCGGTGTCCAAGACCCCAATAATCACACCTTTACCATAATTTGAGCTATTCCAAAAGCCTAAATTTTGGTGCAACCCCAAGAAGTTAGGAGTGTGGGTTGTATGCAAAGATAATACTGATTGGGGCCGGGCGGCCAGGAAGCCATCCTTCTTTTCCATGGCTTTCACATCTGCCGGGGACAATTTGGCCGCAAACCCGGTGACTACATTACGGTATGAATAGATTATGTGCGGTGATTCGTTTGAGGTTGCAGTGGTTGTCGGCAAAAATGACTGATACCAACTTTCCAAATCTTCCGAATTAGCGAAAATTTGGTTGTCTGGCATCTTGACATGAACAATGTAAGGTTGTAGACTGCTTTGCTCCGAGGCATCAGCTGTCAATGGATTGAAACTTAACGTGAAAAACAGAACGAGAATCACCATGAAAGCCATGTTTGGCAATATTCCAGACATGTTATTCTTCATTGAATTGACGTTGAAGAACTAGAGAAGGATTAGTGCTTTATATTGCAAGACCAAACAGAGCACAAAAAAACAAGAGAACTTGTTGTGATAGTTTGTATTTTGGAGGCTGATATATATAGTTTTTTTAAGCTTACAAATCTGTTGCATCTGCTAATAAAATAATAGTGAGAAAAAAATGTGATTGGATGACCTTCTGGAAGAACTTAATTAGTCTTTTTAGGCGGTAGACCAGGACCACTTCAAGTGTCGGACCACTCAGACTATACCAAGTCAACTTGACAGATGAACAAGACATTTTCTGGATATAATAATATCATCAATAAAAGGTAATTTTGTGCTCACAAAGTATATGTGAATTTGCCACTCTTTCAACTTTTTTTTTTTTTTTTTAACCAAGAGGTATTACACTTTTTTTCTTTTTTTCAACTCAATCTAATAATATATATATATATATATATATATATATAAGCGCTTAGTCTAATATGTGTTAGAATATTTAGAAGCATATAATACAGATGGAATCAACATATTCATGCTAAATCCATGCCTTTTGGACTTTGAAACGGCTTGTGATGCTTTGTTAGACTTAGTTTAATATGAATGACGGGGGATGACACATTCTAAAATCATCCAACATTAGTATGAAAAATATAATATATTACATCACAAGGCACATTAAATTTTAGTACGATTTTTCTTAAAAATTCCTCGTGTTGTACCCTTTGTACTTCTTGGAAAAAAAATTCATGGGACGACTGTTTCATAGATTAAAGTATGTCACGATTATGTGTTCTTCAGTACTCTATCAATAAAATATATATATATAATCCAAAGCAAGCAGTGTTTTTAAAGTAAACAACTTTCTATAAGCAATATATGTTATGTTATTTGAAGGCCTTAAATTGATTTTTTTTTTTTTTTTTGATGATATCTTACATTAATTATTTTATATCAATTTGAAACCTCTCGCATAAATAAATATTATATTCTTCAAGGGTTGATTACCGTACAAGTTCACTATACCGCACCTCACTGAGTTATATAATGCCCTTGTAATAAGATTAAAAAAAAATTATCAAATCTAAACATATTTGTATTTACACTCAAAATCAAATCACAAATATAGAAAATAGAAAAAAATTTAAGTACTGATTGTAGTGTGAGTGAACAATGATAATTGTGGTGGTGGTGGTGATGGGAGACAGTAACGATTGTAGTAGACAATAAAAGTACTTCTTAAATAAGTATTTCTCAAAAATATTTTAATTAAATAAACACTGTTTGATTGCTCAAACAAAAAAAATCCTAAAATAAAAAGTATTTTTATCAAAAAGTGTGCAGTGGTGGTGGATGGCAGCGGCGGTGTTTATAATCGATGGTGATGGATGATGATGGTTTTGACCCGGGGGGAGGGGGAGCGACAGTGATGATGGTGATAGTGATAGTGGTGAAGTGTATTTATAGATAAGTGATTTTAAAAAAAATAAAAGTTCCTTTTTTTTAAAATTTTTATTTATTTACTTATTGAAGTGGTAAAATTATTTTGATAAAGAAGAAAAAATAAATGATACGAAAAGTTAAATGATTAGTCTTTCTTGCACTTCACCAAAATCTCTCTAAAAATGAGAGGAAAAGTGTATGGAATGTTAATTATACATTATAATTTATTTTATTCACATTTATATCCTTTAATATATGCATATATATTATTTATCTATTACATATCATGTCCACATTAACTTTATGGATATACAATAATAAAATAGGGCGAATTGTACTTGGAACCTTAAAAGATTTTAAAATTTTTATTTTGTATCCTCAAAATATAAATTTTTCACATTACACTCTCAATATATCAAAAGTGTTGTAATATGATTGTTTTTAACTTTTCATTAGTTTTTTTTTGCCAGTGTTAATGAGTTTGTCTGTTAACCAAAAAAAATTAACGGAAACTAACATATGAGTCAAATTGCAATATTTATGATACATTAAAAGTGTAATATAAAAAATTTAATTTTTAAAAGTACAAATTTAAAATATTAAAATTTTTCTGATATAAAATACGAAAAACCCAATAAAATAGGTATCTCTATGTATCCATTAGGCTAGGCCCGCAAGGAGCTCCATCAAGTAAGCGTGTCAGCCACCAATAGAAGTCCATGATTCTTAACCTGATGGACAAGTCATGAACTGCAGACTTTCTTGGTGGATTGGCCCATTCTAGCCGAATGACAATTCAATGTCCTGGTTGTCCGATCCGTAACCCGTTATTGATCCTTCTAATGTAAACACTTCAATGTGAGGCTTTTAACATTATTGTATTACCACGACTTTTTCAATGGCCCAAGTGTTTGTCAATGCTTGGTCCATTGCCCAGGATTTGATATCGGTGTAATTAACTCTTTTTTTTTTTTTTTGTATCGTTCAAGTCTGTCTTTAAAGACATGTTCTAAATTAACTTAAGTTGCTTAATTCGAGAAAATAATCGACACAAATTTAGATATTTTATAATAAAAAATAAAATAAAAAAGAGCTTGAATATCAAGATTTACCCTGGATTGGCTCTGGGTGTTAGAACGGTGAAGGACAAATTCGAAATTGCAATGCAAAAGGTTGTTCCACTTCTTGTCATTCTCTTGCCCTTTGCAATAGCTTGAGATTGGTCAACGCTACAAGGGCTGGTTGGGTATTTGCTTCAATACTTATTTCAATGTGAGAAGGCATAATGATTTAAATACTTTTTATTTTATTGTCAGAGAAAGAGAGACTCGAATAATTTATCCGGGTAAAATGAAATAATCTCTCTCCCTCCCTCCCTCACACACGCGTGCACATGCGCACACACACACACAATGAAGATCTCCACCATGTTCATCATAGAGAGAACCTTCACTAGAGACTGCACAATCTCTTTAGGCCATTCTATTCGTGCTAAATGGACATTTTCAGCCATCCTGCCAAAGTTAACATTTATGGGTGTTCATGTCTCGGGTCAGGTTAAACCCACAAATTTTTTTTCGACTATGTAAGATAGGCTCAAGTCCTTACTCAGATGAGTTATTGGACGGACTAGATTTGAGTAAGGGTAGACTACTTACAGTCCAACCTGCGAGCCTACTAGGAGGACCTTCTGGGCAGGCTTACTGGACGAGTCAGGCTGGCTTGTTCGCGGGCTTTTTTATATACAATTTCATTTAAAAATAATGAATATTTTTGTAAATTATATTTTTGAATCAAAAGTAGAGTTAAAATAGACAAAAAATAAATAATTAATAATTTTATTTTTGAGTAAGGAAAGATCTACATCACAATATAATGAGCATATCTCAATTAGGTTGACACAACCAATGGGTCTTTGGTCATATGGTACACCTTACCTTATGAAGATTTTGTCTTCTTAATGTAGAGGGTTCAAGTTCCTCCTCCCTCTCCCAAAAAAATAAAAAGGTAAACATTTAAAAAAAAAAAAAATTAGGTCGACACCTACTCACCTATCTATTATTTTCATAACTATATCCTTTAAAACATGTATGCTTAATACATGAAAAAAAAATTAATATGTTATTTATAGTATCAAAATTTTTAAAATTTCAAATTTCGACATTGGGGAACTTATTTTAAAATTTCAAAATTCAATGATCTAGCAGTCTAACTTTTTTTCAAATGAAAGGTGGACAGACGGGTTCTTATGCCGAGTTTTTGCATGTGGGCTATTGAGTTGGGTTTCAGACCGGGTAATGGGTCTGGGGGCAAAGTCCTAGTACTCCTTTTAAAGAAATTAAGTTCGGACTCGAACGAGCCAATTATCGAATCTATCGTATTTTGAGTCTATTTTTTTGACCCAGAACCCATGGCTAGTTCGACCCAGGATACCCCTATTATAACACCCAATAAAGTAAATTGTGAACTTTTCCCACACTTGGTTTTACTTGGTTTGGCTAGAGTTTCACCTGTCATCCACCGCATAAAAAACATTAGTAATGTTATATGAACTTAAAAAATATACTTAAAAATTAAATTTGATAATCTTAACTATTAATTTTATTGTAGGTCATAGCATTTATTGAAATTCACTACCTATTCAATAGTTGAGATTATCAAGTCTAATTTTTAAATTTACCTAGTATTACTCAAAAGACATTAAGAGCTGCCTCACCTTATTCTTGGTAACTTGTGGAGATTTATGATAGGAGAACGTGTCCAATAAATCAGAAACAATATACACAAGCAAACATGATTGGCAAAACCTGACAGCAAGCCCAAATATCAACACATTAAACCATATGCATCCATCGACCATGTTAGATTACAAAATTTATTCTAATCCCATAGTTTCCTTCCTTTCTTCTGGTAACTTCACCATGTGAATCCTTATTTGTGCCAGAAGAAACTCGGTCACTATTTGTAACTGCTACACGAGAGAGGGTCGCTGAGATTCGAACTCGTGACCTAACAGTCCAACAGCATGCTACAGGAGCCATTAGACCAACCACTAATTCTCGTGCTAGAAGAAACTTACCATGGAGCTTGAACTTGTAAAAGATGACAGATCTTCGTACACAATTTAGTGTCCTTTGCACGATACATCACATGTTAAAAGCCAGAGCATTTTTCAGTTGTTCTTAAGCCAATCAATTACACATGCATAGGGATAGCACATAGGTGATGAGCTTTCCTCAAGGTAATCCCAAACTCGTCTTCCATGTCCATATCCTCTGCAGAATATCCATCTTCAAGCTTCCAATTGAAGGAGTGAATGAGTGAAGCCAACATAAAGTGCAGCATCCGGAGGGCCAAGGGCATGCCCGGGCAGATTCGCCTTCCTGCGCCGAATGGAATCAGTTCAAAATGTTGTCCCTTGACATCCATATCCGACCCCATAAACCTCTCCGGCATGAATGAATTGGGGTTCATCCATACACTTGGATCTCGCCCTATCGCCCACGCATTCACCAACACTTGTGCACCCTTTGGGACTAAAAAGCCAAAGAGTTCCACATCTGCTTCAGCTTTTCGAGGGAGTAAGAGAGGAATTGGTGGGTGCAATCGGAAGGTTTCTTTCACAACTGCTTGTAAATAAGGCATCCGGGCAACGTCGTCTTCTTCTACTAACCTGTCTATGCCAATGGTGTGCTTTATCTCTTCTTGAGCTTTCGAAAGAATTACAGGGTTGCGAAGTAGCTCTGCCATTGCCCACTCCAATGTGTTTGAAGTTGTATCAGTTCCTGCTACAAATAGATCCTATGACACAATAACCAATTCGTGTCAGCAGACAATTTACCCAACAAAAAAAAAAATCAGCAAACAGGAGTCGAATTGCGCAAGGGGTTTGGTTCCTTTGTAATTTAACAATCAAGATATGTCTGCCTATAATCAGGTATTCCATTCAAAAATGTGAATTGGCTAGAGGCTGATGAGCATGCGTTGAACATGAATGAGCTCATGAAAGGGTATGTTTGTTGAGTAAATATTCGATCCAACTATGATAACACGTTATTACTATCACGTCAAATCACCATCTAATTAAAAAATTACAAATAGGCAAAATGAACCCTACTATTTTATAAACATCTGTAACCATCACATTCAATTATCAACATAGGATTAGTAGGATTTATTTTATCTACTTGTCATTTTTAAATTGGACGATAACACCATATGACAATAATGACATGATGTTATTGTTACATCGAATATTTTCTCGTGTTTGAGACGATGGTTATTAAATAAACAAGCAAATTGGTCATTGATAGTTTTCCTAGAGAAAAAGATTAGCAAGCTAACAATGAAATGAAAGAGAGATAAAGATATTGCACTAACCAATAACAAGTGCTCGATTTCTGTCCTTTCAATCTCACAACTGTCCTCTTTGTTGAGAAGAATATCTAGTACATCATCTGTTGGGACGAAATCAATATTTTTTCTTGACAGCAACCGTGTTTCGATCACACTACCAAAGACCCTTATAACTTCCCCAAAGAACCCAGTCATGCGACCTCTTATCCTTTGTGGGTCAATCCATTTTAGTACAGGAAAGTAATCTGCCAAATTAGATTTTCCACCCACTTCCATGATATTCCTCGACAACTCCTTAAACTCTCGTGCAGTCTCAGAATTGGTATCGGCCCAATCAACTGAAAAAATTGTTTTGGATAACAAGTTAAGGGTAGTACTAGATGCTGCTTCGCCAATATCCACCGCGACACCAGCTTGGCAGCTCTGGCGAACGAAGGCAAGGAGTTCTTGCACTTTTTGGCGTCGGATAGCCTGATTGGCATCGAGTCTTTGAGTAGTGAATATGTGGGAATTGCAAATCTTTCGAAGTTTTCGCCACCGAGTTGACACTGGTATCCAGGCCATTGACACTTCATTGTGTTGTTTCGCGTGGATCGAATCTGGGACAGTTCGAGTAGAGAAGGAAAGGTCATGCTTTTGGAGGACTTCTTTGGCCGCTGTATCAGATGATATGACTATCGTGGTTATGGAGCCAAATTTTAGAGTCATAATGTGGCCATAGGTCTCGGCAAGCGTTGTCAGAGACTTATGCGGCTTGTTACCAAGTTCTAATAGATTTCCGATGACCGGAAAAGGGACAGGTCCTGGTGGAAGTTTTCCAGGACTTGATTTGCTTCCTCTGACAATAGAAAGGAGAGAGAGAAAGATTATCACAATAAGCAGAAGACATAATACAGAACTCTTGAAATCCATCTCTCTGTGGCACAGTTTTTGGATATGTGTCTTGTTATATATACATCCACATGAAGGTTTTTGTCCTCTTTTTATATCCGATTTTTTCTTTTTTCTTTTTTAATGTACAGCTGTTGATCTAACGTATTCCGATAACAAAATAAAGAGGACTGTTACTGGTACTGAAAAAAAAATTGGTATCATATATATATTTTTTATTATATTATTTTATTTTATTTTATTAATTTTTAGAGTGGGTCTTGACGTAAAAATAAAATTAATCTAATGTGACACGNCCGATTTTTTCTTTTTTCTTTTTTAATGTACAGCTGTTGATCTAACGTATTCCGATAACAAAATAAAGAGGACTGTTACTGGTACTGAAAAAAAAATTGGTATCATATATTTTATTTTATTATATTATTTTATTTTATTAATTTTTAGAGTGGGTCTTGACGTAAAAATAAAATTAATCTAATGTGACATGAGGGTTAAGGAAAAATAGTCTATTTGTGTACATTTAATTCTCGTGAGATCCCATAGCAGTGAGAATTTCGTGCACTAAGACTATTTTTTTATTTTACAATCATCAACAATAAAAAAAGAATTGAAAAACAGCTCTCTAAATGACAGACAAACCCATTTTCTCGGTGCAGGCTTATGTGTAAATCCGATAATATTACTTGGATACCGAAAGTAATTTTGGTTCGTCAATTCAAGCTCAACTCTTTGCTTAATTGGGNCAGCTCTCTAAATGACAGACAAACCCATTTTCTCGGTGCAGGCTTATGTGTAAATCAGATAATATTACTTGGATACCGAAAGTAATTTTGGTTCGTCAATTCAAGCTCAACTCTTTGCTTAATTGTGTCGGATTTAAAGATCAGGTTAGGACTCTATGCTCTTTCTTTTTGTGTGAGAGGATGTCGGGGAGAGAAGGGAATGCATCAAAACCGCGTATAAGACATACGAAACCTTATCTTTTCTGACTTTTTGAGGTTCATCTCCCTTGTATTGGTGCTTAAGTTCTTCCCATGGGATTTTGCTTGCATTGGATAGCACGAAGGTCTATACAAATAAGTCAACGGAATTTGTTGGCCCCTGACAGCTGGGCCATGATGACAACGGCATATAAACATCTACTACATCTATAATAATAAAATATAATTCAATTTAAATCTTTTTTAATTTCAAATTTTAATTTATTTGAAAAATACAAGAACGATTCAAATTCATTCTAAATTTAATTCAATAATTTAAANAATAATAAAATATAATTCAATTTAAATCTTTTTTAATTTCAAATTTTAATTTATTTTAATTTTATTTGAAAAATACAAGAACGATTCAAATTCATTCTAAATTTAATTCAATAATTTAAATTTTATCTAACTCTTCCAATTGAATCTAATGACCCACATTTCATCTCACAGAAAAAAGAAAATTCCGACCAATTGAAACCCATCTCCTACACGCTACGCTGCCCACCCCTGCACTCTACCCAAACCCCTTACACGACTACTCTGTGCTCACCAGTCATCTCTCACTTCTCTCTAACATGGCTCATGGCTCATGGCTCAACACAGCGGCTACCCAGACCCTTTAAACCCTTTTATAGCGACCACCGATTTGCCCTTTCTCTTCCCCTTTCACACGTTTTGCCTTCTCACATACACATGGCAGAAGACACCTCAGCCCAGGTACCTCCCTCATCCCCTTTCACTGATTGTCCATCACACACTTTCACCAATGAATGGGATATTCCATTGTGTTCAGTTTGGACAATTTTTATGCATTTGATTTGATTTGATTTGCTTTTTTTCGGTTTGGGGAAACTACGGCTTGGGTGAGTTTGTGGTATATCGAATGGGATACTTCATTGTGTTCGATTTCACCGATTGTCCATCGCACACTTTCACCAATTATGTGGGTTTGTGGTATATCGAATGGGATACTCCATTGTGTTCGGTTTGGGCAAACTACGGCTTGGGTGAGTTTGTGGTATATCGAATGGGATACTCTATTGTGTTCGGTTTGGGCAAACTTTATGCATTTGATTTGATTTGATTTGTTTTTTTTCGGTTTGGGCAAACTACGGCTTGGGCAAACTCCATTGTGTTTGTTTTGGGCAAACTACGGCCAAGTTTTTTGTTCAGATTGCGATTTGATTTTTTTCTTATTCGGCTAAATTATTTTCACCCAAGCTTCGTCCTCGTCGAATATAGCGTTAAGCTTTGTCCTCTGCATTTTAAATTTCATCCTCTGTTTTCAAAGATCTGCATGTTGATGATCTTTGGTGTGGAATGCATTTTATACATCTACCATATTTTCACTACTTTGTGAATCTTTGTNATGTTGATGATCTTTGGTAAAGGAAGTGGTATTGTTGGTGATCTTTGGTGTGGAATGCATTTTATACCTCTACCATATTTTCATTACTTTGTGAATATTTGTTCAAACAGACTTTATTATTTTTTGTTCAAACACACTTTCTAAAAATTATTTTTGAATATTATTTTTTGTTCAAACACACCCTCTTATAATTTTTTGGCAGACCCTTTGATCGTCATTTCAGACTTTTTTGGGCTTTTTGCACTTACTCTATTTAAAACTGTGGAGGTTTTCCTTGATTATTTGTTAATAAAAAGATTTACTTGAAAAATCCACGCGACATCCTGTACAAGATTGAGGATTAAAGATGAATCAATTTATTTTTATTTTAGGTGCAGGGGAATATTGTTTTGGGTTTACATGCTTTGGATTTTGTTTATTTTTTGTTCGATTTTATGAATTTAGTGTTGTCTCAGTGAATTTGTTGTGAATTTAGTTGTTTATACATGGTTTCTAGGTTTTTCTAAGATGCATATAAACTACAATTTCCCTAAACGCAGTTTCGTTTCCTTTTTTTTTAACAATGGTTTTTACTTGGTTGACGGTGTAATTGTATTCATGGTACTCGACATGGAGTAGAACATTCCTTCCATTTGTGCTTAGTATTCATGGTTTTTGCCTTTCTAAATTATTGTTTTAGTGCGAAATGGATTTTTAGTGTCATTAAGTTCTTAATTAAATTATTGTAACTTTGACTATTCTGAATTTTAGCAACAAGAAAAACCAGACTATTTAAAACCAGCCGAACACGCCTATGTGTGTTGTTAATGGATTTTTGGTCTTGAAGTTGTTTGATTTGGGTCTACTTGAATAAGTTTGAGTAATGGGCTCAACTTTGAATGGGCTAAAAATTGAAGTTAAGGCGTGTTTGGCTTTCATTCTATGCATTTTATGCGGATTTTTAGGATGTGTATACATGCCACGTGCAATTGTATTTTAAAACTTTGAGAGGTTTATGATTTTGTTGTGTTTGAGATGTTTGATGTTTACGGGTTGTAAATTGAAGTCTAGCTGGTGCTTGCTCTTAGGCATGGGTTGTTGCTAGGAACACGGGTAATTTCTATTGTATTGGGAACAGAACCCAAGTTGTTTAAGGTCATTCAACTGTGTTTTTAAGTGGTCACTGATTTTTCAAATCAAAAATTAATTTTTGGTCAAATTGTATACTAGACTAGATGGTTAGTTTATTTTTGTGTCATGTATATATAGTTCTAAAACATTCTATTGCATTATTGATTGTTGTGGTTACTCAATGCCTTTACGTGTATATGTGGGTGGGAAAATAGTTGTGTGGGTGGGAGACTATGTTATAGAGAGTTGTTGATCATGTTTAGATTTTTTCAAGCCTTAATTGGATGTGGAAGCTATGGAATTTGGACTGAAATTTATGGGAATTTTAATTCTTATTTTCCCCCTTGCTTAGATATCAAAAATCTTATTGACATATAAATGTTGTGTTTGATGGAAAATATATTGCATTGTGGAAAATATATCATTTCGTTTTGAGCAAATCTTACTTAGCAATTCCCTATGAGTATGTGTATTATGGGTGAAATGTTGTGGTGGTTGTGGTTTTTGGATTTGCATTGTTAAATTCATGCATTGGAATGTAGTTTGATTTAAGGTCATAGTTTGATTTGACTTTTCATCTGATAATCAGAATGTAGTGTTGTTTGATAATGTTGAAATTTGAATTTCCTAGATTAAATCACGTTGCATGTGTAGGGACATTTAAGAAATTGGAGTAGATTGACTATGTGATTTTAAAAAATTGAATGCTAAATATGTGTGCATGAATGAATAGTGGAGTTAACTATTGTTGAGTAAGGCCACTTTGTGTTTGCGACTTTCTCCCTAAATATGCTAACTCTGATTGTTGAGCTAAATATGCTAATTATGATTTTCAAATTTTCTTTCCATCTTCCAAACGGTGCTAGATGGACTCTTATGTAACGCCACTTTCTGTTTGCGACTTTCTCCCTAGCAATTAGTTGTTTTGGGTTCACATGATAGTTTTTTACTGATTGTTGTGAATTTGGCTTTTTTTTTTTTTTTGGTGAGTTGCTTTAATAANTTATGATTTTGTTGTGTTTGAGATGTTTGATGTTTACGGGTTGTAAATTGAAGTCTAGCTAGTGTTTGCTCTTAGGCATGGGTTGTTGCTAGGAACATGGGTAATTTCTATTGTATTGGGAACATAACCCAAGTTGTTTAAAGTCATTCAGCTGTGTTTTTAATTGGTCATTGATTTTTCAAAGCAAAAATTAATTTTTGGTCAAATTGTATACTAGACTANTAAGATTTTAGAGAAGAAACAATAGTTTCTTAGTGCGGTTTGTTATCAAAGGTCCATCCTTTGGTTTGTGTTTAGTCCTGGAGTCTTGCAGTGGCATTTGGTCTCTTCACATGAATTTTTGATTCGAACTATGAAAATTGTGCTCGAACCAATATTGAATTGGAGTAAAATTGTGGAGTCAAGCATACACATATGCACACAAACACACACAATAACTTTTGAATTTTGGTGTCTTTTAATTGGGTGTTTAATTGAATGTCTTTTTTTTTTTCAATTAGGAATATTAGATTGTTAATTTATGAAATAGGTTTATATAGTTATGATCAAATAGGTTTTTTTTTTTATTATGAATATTATGATGGAATGGATAGTGAGTTGGTTATTATTAAGTGTTCATGTTAAATGCATGTTAATTTTATGAAATTTCATTGTAATTGATGTAAATCATTGTAATTTTACTGTGTAGTCGCCATCGTTCCATTGCACAATCATCGACCGATGGATGATATCATTATTTTTGATTGTGTAAGTTTATCATCTTCTTAATTCTCTCTAAACATCTTTTATTAATTTTTTTAATAACTTATTTATTTTGATTTATCTTCATTAATGTCATGACAGATGGACAACGATCTAAAAAATACCATATGATAAGTTTTTCTTACTTATTATTTTATTACTTTTTGTCTAATTTTTTTACCCTGCTTATTTACTATTCAATATTTTTTTGTCTATAAGTTCGAAGACTTCGTTATAATAATGTAGGAATGGTAATTCGCAATGATTATGAACTAAATCGTCTTCGCATACGTGAGGTAGTGTTATCTCACATACTTGATGTAAGCTATAAAGGAAGATGAAGTTTTTTCCTTATTTGTGCATATATGTATTTTTTGTGTTTCGTCTTTTGTAAAGCTAACTAATTATACATGGTTATGATTATTTTGGGTATGAAATGATGGTTGTTTTGGTAGTTAGGTATGTATTGATAATTGTGGTGATATGGTATATTATGATAATTGTTATTAATGATTGTAAATTTTGTAGACAAGTTTATATTTTTTTGGGCTTCTATTTTTAAAAAAAATTCTGCTGAAATATTTTCAAATTAATAGGGATTAACTTGATGTTTTGATAATTGGATATGTGGTGATAATTGGGTATGTATTAATTATTATGGTGGTATGGTGAATTATAATAATTGTTATATCTGATTGTAAGTTTTATAGAGAGGTTGTTTTAGATTGTAAAGAGTCTTTACGTAATGTAGTATTTTTGGAGTTTTAATCTAAATTTTTATTAAATCGTACCTTCAGCCACAGGTAATTACTAGTTATTGATATTATGAGTATGACATATCCCTCTATCTACGGCGATTGGATGGCGTAACGGAAAATAAATTTCAAAATTATATTATCCATTATTATTTTTATGATTTAATTAAATATTTTAAAAATAAAAAATATAATTATTTAAAATTATTCATGGTCAATCATAAAATATTAATGTTAGAGAAGGCAAAACGCTTCTCATTTACACCATTGAGCACTGGACATTAAATTGGCCCTGAATGAGTTCTTAGTAGATCTGTTATCGAATTGGGTTTTAATCGGATTCTAATTGTTTTAAATTATAATTCTTTTTTAAAAGTTCAATTCGATAATCCGACAGATTTTTATTTTCGTGATTTATATCCGAATTAAAAAATCAATCTGATCTAAATTATTTATATATTTTTTATATAAATATTAAAAATTATATAATTATTTAAAAAAACTAATTAAAATTTAGGTATAATTTGTAAAAATTTAATTAATTAAACTATTTGGATCGAGTTAGATATAAGTGTATTTAAATCCAAATTCATAAAATATAAAATATGAGATTCGAATATGGGTTTAAACTATTAATAAAAAATATAATAATCCATATTCGACTAATCAAAATTTAATCTACTCACAGTCCTAGTTGTTGGTGAGAATGATGAAAATTGATGTTTAGCTACTCTTATTCATCATTTGATCGGAAGCTTCCAGCTGCTGGGGTGACACCAGAGGATTTGGACATAAGGACAAATTGGGAATAATATCGCAGAAGGCTGTTCCACTTGTGGCTGTGGCTGTGGCCTCAGAAGATGGCTTGATGTTTGTCAATGCTATGGGATTGGTGGATCATATTCTTTGTGCTTCAATATTTATTTCAACGTGACAAGGCACTAGGGTTAAAATATTTGTCTTTATCTTTTCTTTTTCTTTTTTTTTTTATTATCAGGGAAAGATACAACCATGGACTCTAGAAATTGCACAATCCCTTTACTCTTGGTAAACTTGTGGAAGTTAATTTATGATAGGAGAACAAGTCACAAAACCCATAGACACAATCGAACCTGATTGACGAAACCAGACAGACAACGTTTCATCTGATAAGTTCACCATGTGAATCATTATTTGTGCTGTAAGAAGCTTACGATGGATCTCATATATATAATGTGAGATCATATTTAATTGTAATTCACAGGTACATATACATAGTTAACTAGTATTTATTTGGAGTTTGGGTTACAATTTGGGGCAAGAAAATTAAGCAATGTGGATCGCGAACCCACCCTATTTCAGGATGTGTGACCCGATTCGTGAAACGTTAAGGGTAACCATGATTCCGGTATTTATGCACCAAACCCACCAAGTTGGTCTCCGATTCAAGACTGATTCTAGGAGACACTGATTTAGTGTATCATGAATGGGTATCAACTAGGCCGGGGGGCGAGCAGGATATGATTTGACCGAGTCATACCAGGCTCAATCGACACTTTAAACACTGGATATCGACAAAGATTCTGAGATTAGATTGACAACAATAAGATGATCATTTTCCCTCCGTTCCTTGTGGATTTGGCACGGGTTTTAGTTGATGCACAATGGTTTTAGCACCTAGCATTAGAAACCTATAGAAGTTCAGAAGTCAAAAAAGCTGAACATGCATAACAATTACAAAATAATGGCGACTTCCAAAAGATGAATTAATGTGCCGCATTCTGCAAAGCAAGTGGCTCATCAAAAGATATTCACATGAATATCAACAAACTCAGAGACAAAAGCAGAGAACAAAATGCATAGNAAGTCAAAAAAGCTGAACATGCATAACAATTACAAAATAATGGCGACTTCCAAAAAATGAATTAATGTGCCGCATTCTGAAAAGCAAGTGGCTCGTCAAAACATATTCACATGAATATCAACAAACTCAGAGACAAAAGCAGAGAACAAAATGCATAGCAAGAAGAAATTAAAGACGGCTGACATAGAAGATATACTTGCGCGATCTTAACTCCATAAAAAAAATAGCCTCGATGAGGTGTACAAATCAAGCTGAGAATTACATTGGCTGGTGATAGTTTATTTTTCTTCACTGTGTTCCAAGCTCACTCCCTCTCTTGATTGAAACTAAGCTCTCATTGTAGACAAGAACCCCGTAACGTAGTTTGAACCCCACAGATCTCATATTCCTTGATGTCTTGTGTTTTGAGATTACATGAAACCAATTGTCCATTGCTAGCTTCTAGAAGGAGCTCATTGTTCTTCCAAATTGATAATGGGCAGGGGACTCCTGAAAGGGGTCCGATTGTGAATTGTTTAGTCCAAGACTCACTAACCCCATATTCAGTCATCACCCATATGTCAAAGTTTTTCGTCTCCACTGCAGAATAATCATAAAGAATCAAGGCAAGGGATTCATTTAAGACTCCAAGACTCCTGTATTTTCCATCCCCAATGGAGCAAACATACGGAAACCCCATCTTTTGGAAAACCTCAGTGCTCATGTGGAAAGAAAGGATAAAATCCTTGTCATCAACAGAATCACCGTCACCAACAAAATAACTTGCACTCCAATGAAAGGATCCATTAAGAAATGGTTCAAAACAGTGGAAGTGTGAAATATCGGGCACAACGGCGTTGATTTCTCTCCAAGAATCAGTACTTAGGTTGTAAATTTGAGCTTTGGTACATTCATAACGATAATAATCATCATCTTCGAATATCTCCACGATCCTTACCACCTTGTAATCATTAGTAATGGGATCGAAGCCAAATCCTACACACTCCGTAAGGGATTTCAAACCCCGCCGGTAAGTGAAGGAAGGAGCAGGAAGTGTCTTCTCCAATTGAAGGGTTCCACGAAGCAATGTCACCATTATCCGTAACGCAAAATATGCCATTGCAAGGACCAAAATGCTCGGGATATTCGTCCTTGAAAAATGGTACATCAATATGTTAGGAAATTCACACAAAATTCTCAAATTTGTGAGAAATAATAATATAGAAAAACACGCGCCAAAGAAAAACAATCACACACATAAGACAGTATTTATNAAAGCAATGTCACCATTATCCGTAACGCAAAATATGCCATTGCAAGGACCAAAAAGCTCGGGATATTCGTCCTTGAAAAATGGTACATCAATATGTTAGGAAATTCACACAAAATTCTCAAATTTGTGAGAAATAATAATATAGAAAAACACGCGCCAAAGAAAAACAATCACACACATAAGACAGTATTTATGCGGTTCACCAATTTGCCTACGTCTACAAAGCTGCAAGGATTTCACTATTATCAAGAAGGAATATAGAGCAGTCGTGCAGAGTGAATTAAACTCTAATCACCCAAAAGAAACAGATTGTATATGTCTTGCACCGGACTACAGACAAACAGGCCCAAAAACTTAGTTAAGTAAGTAGAGTAAAAAATTTCAGCCAAAAAATTCCTACCAAAACGATGACGTTTTAATAGATTGCACCACTCCATGGCTGGTGGGCACAAATTTCTTTTTGTTTTAACTGGCCCTTGGTTTTTTATTCTTTTGTGAGGAGGGTAGTTGGCCTAGCATTTTTGTTCTTAGTTTTTTGGTGGATACAAGTGATATATTATATAAATATTAGTTATTATTCGTATCTCAAGGTACGAAATAATAAAAAAAATTGTCAACAATAAATATATTTATATTTATACCTAAAATCAATCACAAACAAAGAAAAAAGAATTTAATCACCAGTTGCAGTGGAGGTAGGGGGTGTCAGCTATAACCTATTGATACGAACCTGACATTAATGATTATAAAATTGACACAATTATTAAAATACTTATAATAATTAGTCTAGACTAATGTTTAATACTTATAACACACTAAATAGACTTTTTTGTGGATCTTGACATGAACACGACACAAATACGACATGTGGGTCACACGAACACGATACAATTGACACCCTTAAGTGAAAGTGAGCGGTGGTAATGGTGGTGAGCGGCAATGGTGGCGGTGGAAGAATTGTGATGGTTGTGGTGGGTGACAACAACCAAGGTGATGGTGATAATCGTGGGTGGCAACGACTATGATAGTTGTGAGTTTTGGGTAATAATGGTGATAGTGGCAACCATGAATGACGGAGGTGGTAGTGGGTGTTAGTTGGCGACGGTGATGTGGTGGCGGTGGTGGGCAATGATGGTGGTGGTGGTGGATAACAACGGGGGCTTGTGGGCGACAATGTGATGCGTGGTGGCGAATGACGGTGGCAGTAGGTATGGTGAGGGTAGATGGTAGTGGGTGGCGACAGTGGTAGGCAATGACGGGTGGTGGTAAATGTGGTGGGGTGATAATGGCTAGCGACGATCATGGGTGACGACTAGTGCTGGTGGGTTATGGTAATAGATGGTGGTGAGCAACAATGGTGGTGGTGGGTGCTGACAATGGACAACAGTGATAGTGAGATGATGGTGGTAATGGTAATAAATATAAAAATATTAGATGACGATGACAATGACAGTGGGTAGTTACAGTTGACGACGATGATAGCAATCGGTGGCGGGTGATGGTTGTGACGTGGCGTGGCAGAAACGACGATGGTGATAATGGTGGCGTGGCCATGGTGGTGGTGGTAGGTGATGGTGGAACAATAACAATGATGATGATGGTAAGATAGTGATAGTGACAGTAGGGTGATAACAGCGATGATGGTAGTGGTGGTGATGTTGTTGGGGTAGCAGCGGCAGTTGTGGTTGTGGTGCGGTGGTGATGGTGGTGGTGGTTGTTGTGGCAACGATGATAGTNGGATAGTGACGGTAGGGTGATGACAGCGATGATGGTAGTGGTGGTGATATAGTTGGGGTAGCAGCGGCAGTTGTGGTTGTGGTTGTGGTGTGGTGGTGGTGGTGGTGGTGGTTGTTGTGGCAACGATGATAGTGGTGTGGCAGCGATGATGGTGGTGGTGCGACGGTGATGGTAGCAATTGGTGTTGTGGCAGATGTGGTGGTGTGGTGGTAACAATAGTGTTGGTGGTGGTAGTGGTGATGGGGTAAGGGTGGTAGGGTGGTGGTAGCGGTAACGGTAGCGATAGTGGTTGTGATGGGGGTGGTGGTGGGGTTGGTGATGGGACGATAGAGATGATAGTGGTAGTGGTGATGGGGTGACTGCAATGGCAGTGGTAGGAGTAGGGGTGGGGTGGGGGTGATGTGGGTCGTTGTGATGGTGGAGTGGCGGTGGTGATGGTAGTGGTTATGGTTGTGGGGTGTGGGAATTGAGGTGGTGGTGAGGCAATTTCAAACACTACTTTTAAAAAAAAAATACTTATGAGAAGTTATAAGTTCTATAAACACTTTTAAAAAGTCATTTCAAACACACCCTTTAAGATTTATTTTCCCTATTAAATTTGAAAGGTTAATATTAGCTGTCTCATTAACTTTAAAATAAAATTTAAAAAGATTTCAACTGCAAAAAATAAAAGTCATTGTTTTTTAAAAAAAAATTTGAGTTGTATTGTACTTTATTATATAGATATTTATATATATACCTAGGTAATAAAAAATTAAAAAAAATAAAAAAAAATTCAACCACACCCCCTCTAGTTTCTAAATCTTTAGTGACATCTCTTCTAATTTAATTTAAACATCACTAACACCCCTACCATTAAATTACTATTTCTAACAAAAAAATTTTATCTAAAATACCAAAAATGCCCCTACATAACTTTAAGTAATTTTTCTACATAAAATTTTATTAAAATTTGAGCTGTTAAAATTTTTAAAAAAAATTGTAAATAACAATTTTAATAAATAATTTGTTAGTAATTACTAATTTTTTATTTACTAATTCGTAAATTTAAAAAAAAAAATTCAAGCCTATTAAAATTTAATTTTTACATATTAAAATTTGAGCCTATTTAAACTCTATTCGAGTTGTTAACACCGATTAAAATTCTCTTTCAAGTCGATTAAAATTTATATTTTTTTACTTTTTAAAATTTGCGTCAATTTGATTTATTAAAATTTAATTCAATTAAAATTCATATATTTTTATATGTTAAAATTTGGGCTAATTAAAATTCAATGTTAATTGATTAAAATTTGATTTAAGTCAATTAAAATTAATTTTTAATTGGCTCAAACAAAATTTTAAATAGCCCAAATTTTAATATGTAAAAAAAATATAATTTTTAATTGACACAAGTTTTAATATGTAAAAAAATAAATTTTAATTAGATTGAATCAAATTTTATTCGGTTCAAATTTAATTACGTAAAAAAAATTAGAAAACAGAAGGGGTCTCATTGAAAATATATTTATCTAGAAGGAGTCTCATTGAAGATATGTTTATCTAGAGGACGTGTGGATGACATTTGTCCTCAAATATATCACGGGTAATTGAGTAAAATTGCATTCTACTTAATATTTTTAATCTGACAAGGGGTGTCGTTGAAAATTCAAAAACTAGAGGGGGTGTCCTTGAAGATATGGTAAACTAGAAGAGGTGTGATTGAAATTTTTTCAAAAAAAATTGAGGCGGGCACTTGCCCACCCTGACTAGGGATGGCAGTGGACCGGGGAAAAACGGATATTCGTTCAAACCCGCCCCATTTGGACCGGAGATGGACTATACGTATTGAACGATAGACGTATACGGGAATACCCATATAAACCCGTACAAGGATAAAGGCGGGAATGAACTTACCCTTACCCCCGCCCCAGCCC